TATCACTTTAACTACAGATTAATTAATTTATGTGGGTTAATTATATAATGAGAGATTGATAAAATAATTATTGAATAGATGAATTACTTAATCATCATTAATCATAATATACCTTCAAGTAATATTATACCACTATATATGTAGTATAATAACCTAGAAACTATATAGTCACAGTTTCTTTCTCCAATTTTTTCCTTTGGGGGAGGGTATAACTTTTTATTTTTCAAATTAATATGAAAATGCAATTTTTAGGTTAAATTATTCTCACTTCCATGGTAAAGTTCCATTTGTAGAAGAGCCCCTCACCCAGGGGGCATGTTATACACCCTCACAATGTGCACATTAGGTGAGTGAGATCCTGCCTCATTCCTTCCTTCCTTCTGCCAGATGTCCTCCCACTTTCCTCTACCCCTGAACTGTACTATGTTAGTGTTTTACTGTTCTTATGAGCATGTAATTGTTTATATGTTGATTTCATATTAGTATGGAGTACATTGGATATTTATTTTTCAATTCATGTGATACTTTACTTAGAAGAATGTATTTCAATTCCATTCAGGTAAATGTGAGAGATGTAAAGTTTCCATCTTTTTTAATGGCTGAACAACATTCCTTGGTATAGATATACTAGTTTGTTGATCCATTCATGCATTGATGGGCACTTAGGTTGCTTCCATGACTTGGCAATTATGATATTATTTGCTGATAAATATGTGTGCAAGTTTACTGAGGGGGGCAGAACAAGATGGTGGACCAGAAGTATGGTTCAGCGGAGCTCTCCTAGAATGACTAGGGGAAAAGAGAGATCCCAGGCATACCTCTTTGGGAAGCTTACCCAAAGTCACACCTCAGGGACCATGGTGAAAAGGTGGTGAGCTGAATACAGGTGGTGGAAATCTTATGAAGTAGGCAAGAGATTATGACCAGCTGGGATCAGATGCCCCCCACCCCATGAAGGCCTGGTATAGGAGCAAGCCTTTTTGTAATTTTCAGTTGTTAGGGGAAGCTGCACATTGCGTGGAAAGCTTTAAAAAGTGGGCAGACTTAAACAGTATACACCAAGCAGGTTTGAATATCAGTTGGAGTGAACTTGTCATAGATTGGGTGGTTGGTGAGGCAGCTCTAGTGAAAAGGTCTTGGTGGCCAGGGGCCAGCCATTGTGGGAAGGTCTTGAGAAGGTCAAAGCAGGAGCCTAAAACACGGCCATCTTAAGTCAGCCTGCTGGGATCAGAACTTTACTTTTGAGACAGGCTTAGGGACTCTCTCACCCGCAGGAACTAGAGTCAGGGGGAACTGTGAGACCTGCCCCTGAAGGATACTTATAAGCTTTAAGATCCCAGAACAACAGGGTCTGAATGCTGAGGAAATATTCAGGCAATCACAGAGAGCAACTAAATTTGAAATAAGGACCATAGAGGTTGTTGTGACTTTTCTAAAAAAAACCCACAGAACCACCTGATGTCTGGGCAACATATTGCAAGTAGTTGTGTTTATTTGGACATGAGGAAGATTTTGGCTTTACTCAGGCTGAAGTTACTTCAGGAGCTAGGCTCTGAGACTAGGTAATTTGAAGCAAAAGAGGCAGTGATAAGGAAAAAGGAGAACAAAAAGGTGAACAAAAAGAATGAACATATGAGGAGGAACCAACAGAAAAAAATCCGGCAGCATGAAAAACCAAAACAGAGGAACTCCCACAAGGGCCCATGAGGCAGCTGCTGCAGAAGACTCCACCTATAAAGAATTAATGGACTTGACAGAAAGGGAATTGAAAATATGGTTAACAAAAACCTAACTTCCTTTCATACTTTTTCTCTTTTCTTATGTGTCTGATGGTAATGAGTTTTCTCAGCATTTTGTTTTAAGATTTTTATTTCACATTATTTTGTCATGAGTTCCCAGGCTTCTTTATTTAATAAGAAAGCAATGATTAATGTTGGATTAAATTGAAGAAAAACATTGACTGTCACCTTCCTTCCAACCAGCTCCCCTCCCAAACTCCCTACTCCCTTCTTTTTGTTCCCAACTTCTTTAATGAATCAAGAACTTAATCCCAAGATCCCTGTTATAAATCCTAGCATTGTGTTACTCAATTTATCTCTTTTGCTATTCCCATTTCTTCCCTTTCTGAGAAGGAGTTTGAGTACATGGGAGGGGCCAATGTCATGATCTGGACCTAAAGGCTGAAATTAATTGAGGAGTACAGAGTATTGAAGTGATTTTCTTCATAGTTTATAGTATCAAAACATAGTGCTGCTGCTGAGGAAAGCACATTGGTACCATGAAAGGAGACTCAGCAACCTTAAATCCTCTCATTGAGAACAGTAATTGCTTGGCAAGTTGCCTTTCTGACACTGAGTTCAGAGCCACACTCAGACCATGTACTTTTAATCTTTTTTTATTATTTCAGGTTAATATGAGGGTACCAACAACTAAGTTATGGTATTTGCATTAGTTAG